GATCAGAGTCTACGATATAATTTGCCACCGGACACACCATGTTTTTGGGATCGTCAATGGTTTTTGAATGAAATGGAAAGATTTTGAAAGTGATGGAGAAAGAAGAAGGGGAAAAAAGAAAGGCAGAAGGAAAAATTGTGCCTTGCACCCCAGCCAGGAATATCCATGGACTTCAGAGCACTTTCATCTAAAAGCACTGTTTATCCGTGTATTTTCCATTCATAATTTCACAAACGAATAACGCCGTTAACACCATTAACGACAAGACAAAATCAATTTTTTTTTTTAACTAAAATGCCGTCATTTTTCCTAAAAACGACGTCGTTTTGGACTCGTATCCACAGCATAATTTGTGATCCATAAACTAGCCATGCATTATATTGTAATTATATGGACTATTCTGACTAAAATATAACCCAATACTAATTCCGGCGGAATCTAATCCGACCAATTAACCCAAACCCAACAACCCGTCCTATAAATGCTACAACTCACCCGTTTGAAACCCTAAACAGCCAATCATTATATCGTACACCAAGACGCACAATGCATTGTGCATCCGGCCCTACCCAAAACGACGTCGTTTTGATGCATTATCTAAAAAATAAAAATCTCCGTTTTAAATGCACATAAACTCATAACAGAGTACACATAATTTAACATAATACATATTACACATAAACTCATAATATAATACACATAAACTCTTAACAGAATACACTTAAACTTTTAAAATAATACACATAAACTCTTAACTGAATACACATAAACTCTTAATATAATATACATAAACTCCTAACACAATACACATAAACTTTTAAGTAAATACACATAATGGGGTTTGGTCCAATTGAAAGGACGGAGTGACGTCTATCCCCGTCTACACCAATTGCACCATATAAATTGCCCTAAACTGCCCCTCTTCTTCATTCTGCCTTCAGCTCCTCCTTCGCTCCAAATCCACCATTTCTACTCTTCGTTTGAACTTTACAACTTTTAGAGGACTGGGTTGCACTGCCTCGTCTCAAGTGTCGGTGCCCGCCGTGATTGGGTGCTCGGGTGACTGGGATTCCAGGAGAGTCAAGAAGATAAGGAGCAAGAAGAAGGCCCTCAATTTGTTTAGTTTTTTCATTTGATTTTCGCTTACTTCAACTAGGACTTGTTTCTGAAATTTCATAGATGTGTGTGATCATGAATTGATATTTGAGACTTGTTTATGAAATTTATTTGGTCCGGTGACCAGAAATTAGGTAAGAGGGGCTAAATGTGGCAAAGTTTTAAAAGTTGTGGATAGTTGTAGCCTTGTAGGACTTAAAGTGGAAAAAATTCTTCTGAAAGATATACATTGCAGTTCTATAGATTTGTTAGAGCAAGAATTGAAATCTATACATTGTGGTTCTGTAGATAGTTATGTACCCTATTATGAATCTCCGTTACCAAAAGATGGACCTTCATTGGTACCTCAGGGCACTGGAAGAGGTGATAATTCGAGCTCTTTCTTCATCATTTTCTATCAAAGCTTCACGGGTTGAAGGATTGACTGGTGTTTGGGTTGGTAAGGCCATAATCTCTTTCTAGTTTGTAAGCTCTTCTAATGTTATTTTTCCGTGAAGTATGCATGTCTTGTTCTTTCAGGAGATCAGAAGCTAGCTGCCATTGGCATTAAGGTTTCTCAATGGATCACATTCCATGGCCTAGCACTCAATGTAACCACTGATTTATCAGCTTTTCAACTGATAGTTCCAAAAAACACACGGCGAATTTAGCAAGTGCAGGTGAGTTGTTCTGGGATCGCAAAGGTAACTGGATAATGGGGTTCTTGGTCAATATTAGTGCGACTGATAGTTTCATTGCTGAGCTGTGGGGCATAAACAGCTTGGCAAAGAAAAGGGGTTCTAGAAAATGGTTGTTAAGTTGGATTCGGAAGCGGTGGTTAAGGTTATGAATGAAAATTATGCAACAGTGACTTTATTATTATGCTCATCTCAGATTGCAAGCATATTGTTTTGGCCTTTGAAGAGGTTATTTTTATGCACATCTTAAGGGACAGTAATAGGTGTGCTGACTTTTTGGCCAATATTGGTCATTGCAAGGGATTGGGGTACGTTGGTTCTTGAAGTTCGTCCAGATGGATTGCCGGATCTCTTGATTATTGACGCCTGCGGTGCTAGAGTTAGAAGAGTTAGTTAATGTCCATGTTTGGTGGTTTGGCGGGGCCTTTTTTCAACAAAGGATATTCTTTAAATATAAATTAGTATTTTCGCCCATGCAATGCACATAATGGATTTAAATATAAATATAAACTAGTATTTTTCAAAAAAGGATATTCTTTAAATATAAATTATTCGATAATCATTAACAATCATATAATATATTAACGCAATTCAACTACTTATTATCTAATCATTATTAATGATTATGACAAATTCAAATTATTCACTAATACATATGATAACCATGTATAATACTTGTATTTTGATAGCTTCTTAACTTGGAAAAAAAAATAAAAAAAAAACAAAAAACAAAAAAACAAAGAAACCCACTCCACAAGACCCTTTTCACATGAAGTAAAAATCGTTTGTGGGGCTTTGCATAGATTTTAAGAAAAATGAGATGATTTGGAAGAAAGAGGGTGAAGAGAGAGAAAAGTTGAGTGTGGCCTGCAAAGATGGGGATTTTGGCCGTGAGTGGGTCTTGCCAACAAAGAGGCGCAACTCTCGTGCCTAGGCAGGCGCGTAAATATATATATATTTTTGTTTTGTTTTGTTTTATTTTTTTTTTCCAGATTTTAGTTTTTTTTTTTTTTCTCCCCTCCCATTTTCTATTTCCTAATCACACCTGTAAAATCCCCTCAAAATTTTCACACTATTGAGGATGTTCTAATACAACATCTAAACCACTCTCGTTTTAGTATCCCACATTCCCATGTAAGAATCTTGCCCATTCGGGGTTATGATTCGGGTGGCTGGTGGGGCGTCGCGGATCTAATGGACTGCCCCGTCGAACGCCGGTCATTGGCCAACCTAGGCTAACCTCTCTCGTCAAAATATTCTGTGGATTTTAAAATACACAATTTACATACTGAATGTTCACAATTAAAATTGTGAACCTTCACTATATAAATAAAATTGTGAACATTCAGTATTTAATGGTAAACATTCAATATATAAAGGCACAAGTGTCAAATAGGCCCATCTACTACTGCGAAGTGCTCAATTTCCACCACGAACTAAATTAAGTGTCAAATAGGCTCATCTACTAGCTAAATTTGTTCGATTGACTTTTTTTACAAGTTAATAACAGGTTGCCTATTCAATTATTAAAAAATATAATAAATATATATAACAAAAAAAATTGTTTATTTGTTTTTCCAATAGAGTTTGCTCGGTACACCGGAATATTGCATGAAAAGATGATAAAACTGAGGTGTGAAAATAGAGATAGCATCCTCGGAGAATAGAGTCCATCTGGTCTACGGATGGAAGTCTTTCCGAGAAGCCAACAAGATAAAGATTGGGGATTGGTGTTCCTTCACCTTGGTTAATCCAGACAGCACAGAAACTATGGTTCTGTTGGTTAAAAAACTACTCAAATGAAAATGGATAAATTAAGATCGAATATATATCATCTCATTGCTGCTCCGACCAAATGTGGAATGAATTGATATTTTTGGATCTTTTCTGTTACTATGTTTTGTGTAAATTTTCTGGGTGGATCGAATCTATTGTGTATAATTTTTGCAAGCTTATTGACTTTTTTTGTTTGTTCTTGAAAACTGAAACGTTGGATTCAGTTTTAGCTTCCATGCTTTATCCTCTTTTTGTAAGCTTCAGAATATACAGTGATAATTTTTCATATTACAACCTTTTTCTATGAATCAGAAACTCACAACCTTTTGTATCTCTGGGTGAAAGCAAATGGGTTTTGAGAACAGAAGACTTGCGCTTTGGATTCCAGATTATGGTTTTTCTTGAATTTTGGGAAATTCTTTTTTTTTTTTGTTATATATATATATATATATATATATATATATATATATATATATATATATATATATATATATATATATATATATATATATATATATATATATATATATATATATATATAATATTTTAATAATTAAATAGGCAACCTGTTAGCAACCTGTAAAAAAAGTCAATTGAACAAATTTAACTGCTAGATGGGTCTATTTGATACTTAATTTAGTTCATGGTGAGAATTGAGCACTTCGTTGTAGTAGATGAGTCTATTTGACACTTCTGCCATATATAAATTATGTATTTTGATCCGAGTCCACCTTGTAAGGTACAAGGTGGACCCAGATACATGACATAACTGTCGACCTCCTTCCTTTATTACCTTAACTTGAACCAATACTTTCCAAATAAAATGGAACTCCGGGGTCCCATGTCGCCATCACCTATCATTATCATATCAATGGTAAGTATTTTAATAAAATTTTTAAAATCTCATACTTTTCCTATAAATAGGACTCCAACTTTTGTAGCGATTCCTAAGTTACATAGTTGAAAATAAATATGTGAACTTGTATAGCTAATTAAAAGAAAAAAGCATAATTTAAATGAACTGATATATAATTTTTAATATTTTTTATTTTTCTTTTTATTTTTTGAGTTATGGACTGGACTGGATTTTAATTTTAATTTTTTAGACTAGCTTGGCCCGGTCTGAAATATAATCGAACGGGGTCAGCCCAAGTCCGCTCTTTTGACACCTCTAGTTTTAGTAAAAAATCAATTTAGATGTCAGGCTCTAGACGGTCCCGATGATATTAAAAATGTAAATTTGTATAAAATTGAATAAATATAAACACCAGAATAGCCAACAACTATTAAGGATAAATTTAACTTTTTAACCGAAATCGCATTAAGTTAATATCATGTAGCTTTTTCAATTTTAACTTATTGGCGGCATCAATAAATTGTTTACCAAACACTGATATTAAAACAAATTAAAATTGATCAAACAAGCTAGACTTTGGTTGATAAAGTCATTTTGCAAACAACTCCTAAAAAAATACAATTGAATATGCTAGGATTACAGGTAAAGATTAGAGAAAGAGATACATCAATTTTAGAGTAATTCAATTGAGCCTACTCCACTACCTAAGATCACCTTCTTTATGATTTACATCTCAAACAGAAATATGACTTCAAGCTTTTGCCTGCATAATCAACAGATATATACAACAATGAAAAATTCAATTAGTGTTGAAATGACCACTCCCCAACAATCCTAACATAAATTAGCAACGGCTTAAAGATAATTTAGCAATGAAGTTTAGAGAGTTCCGAAAACTTGGACTAATTCATATGTTTTAGGGAAAAATGCACAAATTTAATTCCTCAATTGTTTTTGCTAGCTAGTGTTTTTTAGTTTCTAACTTTTTACTGTTGTAATATACACCCGAACTCTTCAAAATAGTTGCAACTTTAACCTCTAGAACAACAAAATTATTAAACTTTATTAAAAAAATTCTTAATACATGTGTATATTAAAATTTTAGTATTTTTATTCTTTACAATTTTTTCTGTTTTGGTATTTCATATGCAAACTAGGGAATTAACAACTTTATCCATAATTTTTTTTCTCTTCATTTGTGATACATCGTCCCTATTTTACCTATACGAACCTGTTAAAATCAAGTTTTTAATTTACAAAAAATGAAATGCCGACACTAAACAAGATTATAATTAAAGAAGAAATATTAAAAAGTACTGAAATATACATGTACTAAGTAAAACTTTTAATCGAATTGAATAATTTTATAGCTTCATGGATTAAAACTGCAATTTGTTTTTAAAGAACTAGAGGTGTATATTGTAGCGGCAAAAGTAAGAGATTAAAACGACTAGCAATGAACATGGGTGACTAAAAATGCTTTTATCTCAATGTTTTAATCAGTTCAATATTATAGGCACCAACCAAATTTTGAATCTGTGGCTTGAGAATGACTTTATAATAAGAGTTCACCTCTTTTCTCTCCTCTCTGAAATTATCTATTCCACTCCTAGTTTCTGCTTGTTCTTTCCAGTCTTAATTCAACTTCGATCTCATTTTCTCTACCCAAATTATATATATCTATATAAGGTGATGATCCTATGAGAACCATCATGTTCAATATGAGTACAAAGAATTAATATGATGTATTAAAAAAACAGATCTATGAATGAGATTAATTTGGAGAATTCAATATTCATGTGTGCATATAGAGCATGTGTTGTGTGCAAACATAGGATATGCACACAACACATGTTCCATATGCACACGCAAATGTTGGATTCCCTTAACTAATCTCATCTATAGATATGTTTTTTTAATGCATCCTATTTGTTCTTATGTACTGATGAGAAGAGTGGTTCTCATATAATCTCTCTCTCTCTCTCTCTCTCACACACACACACACACACACACACACACACACACACACACATATATATATATATATATGTATAGAAGTTGGTTCATATGCGGCTATTGCTTCTCGTGCGGACGTGTGACTTTGCACCACATTGTATACACATATGCACCATCACGTGTTCATAAATACACCACGATGCAATAGTGGAGCTATGTTGATTTGAGTGGGGTCAATTTATCCCAATCAAATTTTATGGTTAATTACATATACATATATATATTTTGAGATATTTTAAAATTGACCCTACTAAAATAAATATAATAGTTGTCAACATATATATAAACAAAATTTAATTTTCAAAATATAATAATAAAAAATTTAATAACTCTTTGTTTCACGAGAATAAAAAATGTAACTTAGAGAGTAAGAGTGGAAATCGAGAATTAAAAAAGTCCTACATTTATTTAAATAACTTTTCCTCTTTTCTTGCAATAAACTATGATGTTTCAAAGTTGAGTTAAAAACTTATACATTTGTTGTTTTGCTTTACTTTTTCAAAACATTGATACTTTTCTAAATTTGTTGGAGCTTCTTGTAAACACTATAATATCTTTGATGTGCGCTCTAACTCTACACTTTTCAATATCCAAAAGGTTGGTTCTCTTGCTGAAAAACTAGTGGAGACAAAGATATAGTGTATATCCACTAATTTTTTTTTTTTTACTTGTGAAATTAGCTTTAATATTACCAGTGACAATTGCAAGTATTGAAAGAACATTTCTTTTAGTAATGAAGATAGTGAAAAATTGATTGCGTAGTCGAATGAGAGATAACTTAATTAATGATTGTTTGGTTACTTTTATTAAAATGGATTTGTTTGAAAGTGTTGTTGGTAAAGAAAAATATACAATGTTTTCAAAGTATGAAAACATTTATAATAAATAAATGTAACTTATATTTATATTTTTATATTATCCAGAGTAATACAGAGTATTTTTATGTTAACCATACTAAATTTAGATCCTGACTCTGCCACTGTAAGGATGTGGTGCATTTTACAAATTGAGATGTGCTTATAAATGCACCACATCCTTGTGCATTTCTGAACACGTTGGCTCTGTTTGACAAACCTAGCTGAAAAGCTATAAGCTCGGAGCTGAAAGTTGAAAAACTATAAGCTAGGAGCTGAAAACTGAAGAGTTGTTAAGCTAGTTGTTATAATTGAAAGTGTTTGGTAAAATTAACTTTTTAATAAGTTGATAAATGTAAAAAGTCTAAAAAGAACATCTTCAAAAAAATTTAAAATAGTTTGTTTACATATTAAAATTTAACATTTTGTCTTCAAAAAAAAAAATAACATTTTGAAATAAAACTATATATTAACATAATCATGATCTAGCATCCCATAATGAAGTAGCAATATTGTTGCAATCCCTTCATCCCATAATAATAATAATAATAATAATAATAATAATAATAATAATAATAATAATAATAATAATTGCGATGAAAGTTGATAAAGGAAAAGAGAAAAAGATTTTAATTTGGAAGGGTAAAGGATGTCTTTTCTTTAAATAACAAGGACAAAGATAGAAAAAAAGTTAGGAAGTTACTGGCTTATTTTGAAATGCTAACTTAGATAGTGTTTCAAAATAAACTCTTATTTTAAGTTAGGAGCTTATTTTGAGAACATTACCAATCAGAACTTATATCTTATTACAAGCTTAAAATAAGCTATAAGCTCTGCTAAACAGAGCCGATGTGTTATATTTGTGCATACATAATGGTACAAAAGTGCATGATCGCAGAGGAAGCCATAGTCACACTAGATCTCACCTATATGTATGTATATTGAAGAGTTTATTTTACTTTCAATTACCATGTCAAGTTTCAAAAATCTTACTAAATCTTGTCCTATTGTACTGTACTTAATGATATTCTGGAGTAAAAATAGGATTTCTTTTTTAAACTCATGACTAAATTAGAGTAGAGTGTATATAAATAGTAAAAATATCCTGTACCCAAGAAACTAAAAAGAGAAATAAAGTTGATATTAACTTGAATTGATATGTAATATATACCTTTATATTGCGTTTTTATCGCATCCCAAGCCTCTTTTGAGTTGTTTGCATCAAGAACGCAGTGGCTAACTGATTCGTCAACTGCTATCAAGAGAATCACGGTAATCAAGAAATCCTTCTCCCGATCTTTCTTTGAAGCCTTATCTTTGAGTCCTTTCTCTTTGTACCCTTCTTCCACCAAGTCCCAGAGATCATAGCATTTAAGCAATTTCTCCATCTCCGTGCTCCAGATCCTATAATTTCTCCCGTCAAGCTTTTGAAATGATGTGCCCATCTTGGAGCTTTTGTTTGCACAGAACGAACACACACACAGGTTAGTATTGGAAACATTAAATCTTCGCATTGCATAAAAAACAAAAAAGCACAGATCTGATCTCCATTCTCCAGTTTACGAATGACAGCAAATTAACTAACCTAATATTTGTAAGCACTTTCCTAGATTCTGCATTTGGTTTCCATCCGTTCCCTCGATTCTTTTCTAAAGTTTCGACAACTGTTTTCACAACATTCGCTACAGAGCTCGCTGTTGCCGCAAGGGTCGCAATGATGGAGACGATGAGCGAGATTGTCGCCGGGTCTACCATGTCGAGAGTGAAGAAGGAAGGAGACAAGGTTAGATCTGGATAATATATTCTCAACAATTTTCTTCTTTTTAAACTATATTTCTCAGTCAACATCAACTCAATAAATAATGTGTGTAGTTTCCTAGAAGATTCCACCCCTTCACGTGGGAAAAGTCTTGAGGCACCGCGGAGTGACTGAGTGACTTGAGGTGAAATTGGAATAGAATTTTTTTTTTTTGAAAAATGAAAACGGAAAATGTCATTTATACATATACTAGTTTTTTATGCCAATGTTTTTTTTAATAAGTACTTTACATTATATCAAGGTAAGTACTTTAGGTCATTTTACATGTTAATCTAAACAGTTAATTTTTTGAAATATCTTTTTACCAACCGTTGATATAATTCGCTAGTCAAATTCGCTAATATAATCTGCTAACGCTAGCCGCTAAGATTGTCAAACAAGGACATTGCGAGATAATTCTCACTTCAATTTGTTGTATGATTTGAATACTCTCTTTGTCAACAAATCCCTAAGTAGTTAATATGATTGACTTTATTAATTATATATTTTTTTTATTTTTTTTATGGTATTAATAAAATACTTGGTAAATAAATATATGGCATTATTTTGTATTATAAATTTGATATTTAATTAAAAAAATAGTGCACAAAAAAGATAATAGAAAATGTAGTGAATATAATCAATTGATGAATTTGAATGTAAAGAATTTTTAAATTGGAGAAATATAAAGATAATATAACTAATTAAAATTATTTATCATAATTAATTTATTGATAATGAATAATTTTTTTTAATAAATACATTGTAGGGACAATGTAACGAATATAATCAATTGATGAATTTGAATGTAAAGAATTTTTATATTGGAGAAAAATAAAGACAATATAACTAATGAAATTATTTCTCTTATTTAATTTATTGATAATGAATAATTTTTTTTTTTGAATAAAGACATTGTAGACACATAATTCTAAATTAAAGAAATGCATATGTATTATTTATTGTTGTAGATACTAAATTATTATTTAATTTAATAAGAGTAAAATAGAGTACTAATTAAATGCCAACTTTGATTGGGATGGGGTTCGAACCTAAGACCGTTTTATTGAAATCAATGGGTAAGTTAATGGTGAACTAACAGAAATTAACGGAAAAGATAATATTTAACGGAAAAGTTAACGGAAAATCATATTCATTAGGGATAAATTGGGAAATCTGAAGGGAAAATTAAAATCTGATCAATCTGAGCCATTCATTTGATTAAAAAATTCGACCGCCATTTTTTCTACCCATTATAGGCCTAACTCTCTTGGGCTCTTATTAGTATAGTAGATAGTAGATATAGTAGATATATATATAGTTAAATGCTATAACTATTCTTATTGTTTGTTTAATTCTTTGTAATGTATCATTTTTAGAGTTAATACCCAAAATAGTCCCTCGACTATGTCGCAATTACCAATTTGGTCCTCGACTATCATTCTTACCCAATTAAGTCCTCAACTATATAATTTTTATCCAATTTAGTCCTTTGTCAATTTGACTGTTTGTTGACTGTCAAAAGTGGAAATAAAGTTGTAATTTTACAAGTTTTCTCCTTCCTCCTCATTTAGCAGCGCCAAACCATGTAGCAATAAGCTCTGGTTGGGTTCTAAACCTGTCAGTATCGAAGTAGTGGTTATGCATCGGATAACCCATGAATTTGATTTCCAACGATTTTTTGACGATCAAAATCTGATCGGAGTGTATTGCTGCATGGTTTGGCGCTGCTAAATGGAGAGGAAGGAGAATTCTTGTAAAATTATAATTTTATCCCGATTTTTGACAGTCAACAAACAGTCAAATTAATACAGAGGACTAAATTGGGTAAGAATTGTATAGTTGAGGACTAAATTGGGTAAGAATTGTATAATTGAGGACTTAATTGAGTAAAAGTTACATAGTTGAGGACTTAATTGGGTAAGAATGGTAATTGAGGACCAAATTGGTAATTATAGCATAGTCGAGGGATCATTTTGGGTATTAACTCTCATTTTTATTATTAAAAAACAAAAAAACTAAGTAGAAGAAATGCCACTAAATTCCATGCAAAGTTAAAATGACTATCTATTACGTCATTACGTGTACCATAAGCACAGCTGACCATACACGACGTAAGAATGTAAGATCAATTTGTGCCATTAACTTCTTAATCCACTTTTCAAAAATAAAAATAAAAATTCTTAAGTCAAAATTGTAAGAGATCGAGAATCCAAGGTCATTCCATGAAAGTGGCAGGTCAACTCGTAACGTACACGCAATGTAATATTTATGACTCGAATAATAAATAAAATATTTGCTATGAAATCGATTTTTACTACTCAAACGGGAGTGGTTATACCATGGCCGAGGTTCCGCTTGTCAAGTGAACTCTGGTCTTAAATGATGTATAAATTGTGTATTTTTAGCATTAAAATTGTAAATTTTTAAAATATAAATTATGTTTCAAAGTCAAAATTAGTGTTGTAAAATCTCGCCTATGCACCAATTAATCGACGTATAGGCGCTAAGCGCTGGTCAGCCGACTAGGTCGCCTAGTCAGTCGATTAGTTATTGTTCACTTTTTTTTTTTTTTAAATGGGTTATTTTACTCAAAACCACATCGTTTTGAGCAAAATAACCCTAAATTGTTCAAACTCTATATGTTTTTAGAATAATATTTAATATTTTAGTATTAACTATTAAAGTATTAAATAGTTTATAATTATTAAGTCTTTAAAATTTTTTTAAAAAAAAAACTTTTAAGAAAATAAAAAATGCACGAGCGCCTATGCACCGATTAATCGCCGCCTAAGCGATCCCGAGTGCCCAAAGAGCACCTAATGATTTTTTCAACCATGGTCAAAAATAAAAATACATAACAATTGTAGAATGTTCACAAATCCTAATTTGTTAATATTGTGTGACTGCAATATTTGAAATGAACTTGTTAGTACAAAACAAGGTAATCAATTACATATATGTTAACATTCTGTGTTTGTAATATACGAATTATGAATTTTAAAAAGGTAAATTTTAAATATTTAGTATGTAAATTGTGATCATTTGGATCCGGGTCAACCTTGCAAGGTGGAGCTGGATCCCCTTCTATAATTTGCGCTCAAACGGAATGTCATAGATTTGGTCATATCCTAATTAAGTGTCTTGGCATAATCATTATGTTGAACAAATATTATAGATAGGTTGGATCGTAGTTTTTATTTTTTATTTTTATTTTTAAAGAAGCTAATAACAAGAGAGTAATGTTACACCTGCATGGGTTTAACACACTCGTTTGGTAGGCAATATAATTTGGAAGGAGGAGCAAAGAGTAATGTTACATTTTCCTTTTTAAACTTACTTCATAATATTCATCGCATAATGTAAAATTATTTGATTGAATATTTTGTAATTAATTATTAGGTGAATTCTTTTTTAAAACTTGATATAGGGTTAATCATCCAACTCATGTAACCAGTAACCGAGTAACATGTATGATTCACGAAATATGTTTGGAATGAAATAACAATTCTAAAAATTGGTCTATTCACTTGTTTTATAAATCATTTTATTCTTGAGAATAGTGTTAATGAAAATGAGCTATTCTCCTTGTATTTCGAGGGGGTGCTTCATATTAGCTTATTCCTAAGTTCTCATGGAATAACTTTTGAGTGTAATACTTATTAATTTTCCTTACATATTTTTAAAAGAGAAAATTATCAAAATGGTTTATTGACTATGTTGGTTTTACCAATTTCATCATACTCATTTTAACTTCGCTAATTACATCCTTCGACTATCAAAATTTTAACTGTTTTAGTCTTTTGGCACCAAACTTCCAACAAGTATAAGGGTAATGAAAGACTTCAAGTCAATGCAGCTTGTTTTATTTTCCAAAAACTTGTAGCTTAGTTCAAAAATGACATAGAGAAAGACTTCAAGTCAATGCAGTTTATGTCATCTTAAACTTTCTTCACTGCAAATTTTTTATTTAAGGGTGAGTCTTCTGTGACTGTGAGACTCTTTCACAAATCTTTATCTGTAAGATAAATCAGGTCACGATAGAAATGTAATATTTATATCGAAAAATGTAAAATTAATTATGATTAAATTGTTTGTTATTTATAAAAAAAAAAATGTAATACTTTTGAAGAAAAATATAATACTTTTAAATCAAAATGTAATATTTAGGAGTTCATACAAACTTATCACACCGTGCAGACGGGGCCACATTGACCGTGGAAATTTCTTGCCACCTAACTAGCTAGTTGGCCTTTATTTGTCTTTGTAATTAATATGAGGATGGCTATATAAAATAAGCTAAGGAATACAACTTCGTATATCATAAGCTAACCAAATCTCTACCTTTTCTCTTCAATTCCTCCAATTTGCAAAATGGCTGCTACTTCCAATAATACTCCATTTCTCTTCTTAGTTCTTTTGATCATCACATTTCTCTTCATGTTTCCATGCACTTCTCTTCAACTTGGTAATCACTACTCAACTTGTGCATATCTATATACTCCTTTTATATATATGCCTATTATTAACAACTCTCTTAAACACTTTTTTTTTTCTCACACTGCATCTAATTAAATACTACTATTTGTGATCCTTTATCCATAATGACTCGCAATTTTCAATTATTAATTTGGTTAAATTTAAGATGAGTTTGGTTTATGGGTTTACACACTAGGAATGAGAATCAAAATCATAATTAGTGTTTGGTTGACAATATTTTAAAACACAACTATGTGATTTGTTTACCCATCAATTAAAAATCGCATTCCTAATTAAAAACAAGTATCATTCCATCTTATTAGTAATTAAAATTTTAAATTTGGTTTAGTGCTCTTAGATTTTTGTTTTGATTTATTTTGTTCATGTTGGTGCTTTGGATGTCTTTATAGTAGAACCAATTGCCTTAATTTTTTATTTTCCATTATAGGGTCATAGATAACCAAACATCAATATTGGTAATTAGTTCATGCTGCTTGACCACAAGGTCTTTGGCTAGTATTTTTTTTTCTTATAGTTATACAAATATATATTAATTTCAGGTAGGACCCATATTGGTTGCTACACCCTGGACCTATGAAATGATAGAATCGGACGGGATGGAGCCACTACGGGGGCAGTGGGGGCAACTGCAACCCTCCCTCATTCCACCCCTTTATATATGTGTGTGTGTACATATATAGCATTAAGTGTTATATAAAACCTGTATTTATGTTTAAATTGTTAATAATTTGAGTAGTTTAGTTGGTTGAACTTTGAACTTGAGCTTAAAAAGCTTATGGTCACAGGTTCAAAATTTATTAGCAACACTTTTTCTTATCTTCTCTTGATTATTTTATTTATTTTATCTCTTCCAAATAAAATGCTCTTAGTCTACTTTTTATTAATTATTAAATTAATATAGTATACAAGTCTATATTATACTTCGTTGTATTCGAATTAATTTAGAAAAACTTAAAGTTGATCTAACTAAAAGAAATTAAAATTAAAAATTATTTATGAATATAGTGTTATTCAGATTATTTTATCTAATTGATTATGTTTCATATTTTGTCATAAATATTTTCACATTTTCACTCTACTCAAGTATATTTTTTGAGCCAAGCACCTTGTGCTCAGATAGCATGTAGTGACCTCTCTCATGTGGGTCAAAAAAATTTCAAAATGTTAAAATTCAAAAAGCTGTTCAAAACAACTTTTTTTTTAAAAAAAAGAAATTATACCAAACTGCTATCCGCTAACAGCTAATTTACCAAACACATTTTTACAATAAGCTAATGTTATCTATTAGTTATACCCCCTAATTAACCCAATCAACTAACAACTAACACACATTTACCAAACATGGCATATATGTCTTTAGTTAACAAATTATGTGCCTTCAATTTATTTATAGGCACATAATTTATTAATTAAAGACATATAATATATTAACTATATATATATACACATAATTGAATTAATGCCACTTGGGGTCCTGCGAGTATAGTAACTTTGTCACGTTTAGTCCTAAACTTTCAAATTAACCATTTGTAGTCTTTCAACTTTCAAAGTTAACCATTCTTGGTCCAAGTTAACCAGACATGATGCTTCAACTTTTAAATTTTAACCGCACGTAGTCCTCTTGAAAGGACCCTAGTTGGTTAAATTTCCGCGACATTAAAAAAAATTCAAAATACATTAAATTTTTTTTTTTGGCTTGAATCTTTTTGGGGAATAAAAAGATTCCACTGCCCTTAAAATAGAGAAAAATTACATTAATTTAACATCGGAGCTTAAACCATCCAATAAACAAGGAAAATAGAAAGACCTGGGAATCCATTGCACTAGCTTAACCCATATATATAATCCAAATTCTACTTCTTCCGTGTCATGAAATTTAGGAACTCTGAGAATTCAATGGTTCCATTCCCATCAGCATCCAGACAATTTATCACACCCTGTAGCTCAGCTTCGGTGTAATTCATTCCCCCTGACTTGTTCACAGCCACAAGCTCTTTTCTAGTGATGCGACCATTGCCGTCCTTGTCCAATAGGCCGAAGGCCGCCCTGAAATGGGCTATCTGATCATTTGTTATGCCTGTACAGAAAAATATATTTTCTGAAAAATGAGTCATTTAACTAAAAAAAAAAAAACATTTTCGAATCTAATAAATTTAATTGGGTTGTAATATCATTACTAGAAATTATGGAATTTACGATCAACTAAAAGTGATCTTAAATCAAGTCCAAAGCCTGATTCCGACCACTTTTGGTATCCGGAAAAATTTTTGTTACTATTTCCGACCACTTTTTACTTTCGCCTTGATTTGAGATCATTCTTAAGTGGTCGGAAATTCCATAATTTCCAACAGTGATAGCTAGCATGCCTTGATATTTGAGTTGTATTGCATCCCAAGCTTCTTTTGAGTTGTTTGCATTATGAGTACAGCGACGAACTGATTGGTGAACTCCCAGCAGGATAATCATCATAGCCATGGCGTCCTTCTTCTTCCCATCTTTTCTAAAAACCTTAGCTTTGTAACCATTCTCCACCAAGTCCCAGAGACCATGGGATATAAGCAAAGCCCTCATCATATTGCGCCAGCTTCGATACTCACTCCCGTCAAACACAGGAAAGGATCCTGGACCCATCATGGAACTTTGTTTTTCCCACGTTTACACAACACAAACAAAGAGTTTAGTATTGTAATAAACATTATTAGAGTGTTTGGTAAATAGTTGTAGCTGTTAACTTATTGGATCAGTAGTGGGTTTAACTAATTGATATCATTAGCTGATTGTAGAAAAGTGTTTTGGTAAATTAGTTGTACGCTGATAGCTGATTACATACAAAATTACTTTCTCAAAAAACTGATCGAAAAAACTGTTTTTTTTTTTTAAATTTTATTTTAACATTTTGTAGCAATACACTGTTACAAAAAAGCTTATTAATCAAACATTTATATTGATTGTTTCACTGCTGGAAATTATGGAATTTCCGACAACCTGAAAGTGATCTTAAATCAAGTTGAAAGCCTTGTTCTGACCACTTTTGGTATCCGGAAAAACCTTTGTTGCTATTTCTGACCACTTTTTGCTTTCGACTTGATTTAAGATCACTTTCAAGTGATCCGAAATTCCATAATTTCCTGCAATGTTTAACCAAGTCAAACGTGATCAAATAAGCTAAAATTAGCTGATAAGCTTACTATGTTACCAAACAGGGTCATTATGTCCGCATGAACTTAACTTACTAATTCAATAGACAGTATTTAGAGAAGAGATCAAGATTCAAAATAAAATTTGGGAAGGGACAGATCGCTTGTGAGCAATGGACATTTGCTCTTTTGCTGAGCCACTAATCTGTAGAGACATGAATTACATATTTCTAAATGCTTTGTTAGGATGAGGGCATGGGGAAGAAGTATTGGATAAAAATTAACGTTTGCATTGGGAGAAGAAAATCACATATCTGATTGATCTCCAATTTGGCAACAAATTAAATTAAAGGATGAGGGAGTTAACCTAATTTTGGCAAGTGCTTTGGCTGCTTCTGCATTTCCGTTCTGTGCCTTCTTTTCTATAATTTCTGCAATTATTTTGCCAATACTTGCTGTAGAACTCGCTGCTCCTAAAAGGCCCACAATGAACGTGCCCGGATCCACCATGTCTGAGGGAGAAGCTAAGCAGGAGGATGAAGGAAAGGTATAATTTCTTTTAGTCAATAATGTGAACTAAATGAATAATGTGTACACATTTTCGATCCAGAAGACTGCAATATATATATATATATATATATATATATATATATATATATATATATATCAAGTAGGATAGAAAATTCAACCTTGTCTCTTAGAGCATCCAATAGAAGTGAATTGGGGGTTATTTAAAAAAATAATTGGCCTACAAAGGGTTGGGATCATGTCAGAAAAAAACAAAAAGGAAGGAACACATGTTGTGCGCGTTCAATGGCCACACGGGCATGTGCACTGCACGCGCCTGTGTGGCGTGTCAGGCGTGCTGACAGCACGCCTGACGCACTATTTTTTTATTATTTTTTTTAATTTTTGTTTTTAAAATTTAATTTTTTTTTCTCGCATTCTACATTCTCTTTCCTAATCACTCTTACAATAACCTTTTAATAACTTCAACTATTCAACTAATATTGATACTCTTATGAATTATAATAGCCACTAGACCCACCATATGTGTGGGAGTTAGCGCCCAATGGTTTTTGACTGAAAGGGGGAATCTTTCGAAAAAAAAAAAAAAAAAAAAAAAGGAAAGGAAGAAGCTAGGAAGCATGTATGAGGGAGAAGGTCAAAGGACCAACGACAGGTATAATAATTTCCTTACATTTAAAACTATTTCTTAGAAGATTCTATTATCAAGTGGGGAAGATTCTATTATCAAGTGGGAATTGAAAGATAATGCAACCTATCTCTTATTACGACAATAGCCACCGGACCCAGTCATTATATCGCGGACCAGGATTCATAGTGTATTGTGGACTTTGGTCTAATATACAGAATTTATGTTCATAATACATATATATATATATACATAAACACGATATAATAAATATGAATTCTGTACATTATGAACATAAATTCTGTGTATTAAATAGTTGAGTACACATAAACACTTAATATAATACACAAAATTCATGTTCATAATGCACAGAATTCATATTCATTATATCGTATCTATGTATATGCATATTATGAACATGAATTCTGTTTATTATTAAATTAAATTTTGTGTATTGGACCAGAGTTCACAGTGCACTGTAAATCTTAGTCTACGATATAATTTGCCCCGGGACCCACCATGTCTTTGGGATCGCCAATGATTTTTGAATGAAATGGCAAGTTTTTGAAAGTGATGGAGAAAAATCGAAGAAGGGGAAAAAGACAGGCAGAAGGAAAATTTGTGCCCTGCACCCCAGCCAGGAATATCCATGGACTTAAGAGCACTTTCATCTAAAAGCACTGTTTATCCGTGTATTTTCCATTTGTCTAAATGGAATTGAAAATGCTGATTTTGAATTCTTCCATTCCTTAGAAAAATGGAATAATGGAGATAGAATTAAGATTGAGAAATTTTAATTTTGTAAACAAGTTTGGACCGTTTTCTATATAAGGTTCAAATAAACCTTTGATCATAGACAATCTAGCTAAGTTAATCAAGTTGTTGATTTGATAAACACAAAGTTTTAAGTTTGACTCCTAGCGGGAGTAACCTATGTGTTTTTTTAGACATTTTGATTGTTTACTTATACATTTTTAAAGATTAAGGATCTAATTGACTTGTCGTATAAAGTTCGTGGTGTATTTGACCATTTTTCTTTTATTTATATATTGTGATGATGAGACCTAATAAAATTGTATTAATGAATTGTATATGCAAATGTACAGATTATAGTTTATTACTGAAATGGTCCATTGATTATAATAAACTTACTAATTTGGTCCTGAGTTAACGGATGCATGTCTAACGGCAAAATAAACGGATGATCAAATTGGTTAAGAATTTTGAAGTTGATGGACTTAATTGATCAAAAAAATAGTCAAGGACTAAAATGATAATTTCGCTACAGTCAGTGGACCATTTCGATAATTAACTATATTTTATATCAATATTTTTAAGGGAAAATGGTCAAATAGGCCCTCGAACTTTAGCTTACAAGTCAATTAGACCCCTAAACTTTTTAAAGGTGCAATAAAGCCCAAAAATAAGTTAATGATCTGCTATCACAGGTCATTAGGGTTCAGGCCATCTTCCGGCGAATTTTCCGACAAAAAAAAAGTGACAAGCAACCGATCCAGATTTGTCGAAAATTTCGTCGGTCACTTTTTTTGTCGGAAATCTCGCCGGTCACCTATTTTTTTTTTTTTGCTGGAAAATTCGTCGAAAGGTGGCCTAAATGCTAATGACCTGTGATAACAGGTCATTAATTTGTTTTTGGGCTTCATTGCACTTAAATGAATTGTTGAGGGGTGTAATTGCACCTTTAAAATGTTTAGGGGCCTAATTGACTTTTAAGTTAAAGTTCGAGGGCCTATTTGACCCTTTCTCCTTATTTTTAAGCGAAACTTTCACTTTCACATTTGATTTTTCAAAGTATAAATAAGTCGTATAACGTGGGAAACCCCCAACTTTACACTATATTTCATTCCCACTATTCCACAAGTCCACATTGCCAATTTTTTTAGACCATAGGGTGTCCGCTCTAGCTATAAGAGACACGTACTTTTAAGCTAGCGCGTATCATATTCAGATTAATCTCGTTTATACAGGACCGGTCCAATTAAGGGATAAAGTGCTGACCAGGTTGTTATTTCCATACGAGAAGGGGTTCGAACTCCTGACCTCTCTTAAAGAACAAGAGCGCACGACTACTCACACTAACCAAGCTGGTTACATAGACAATTTCTTTGATTTCACACCGAGCCAATTACATCACTTTTTGATACCACAAATAACTTATTTAAAACTTTAAAGGAATAAATTAAAGTTATAGACACTAAATTTTTGCATACCAAAAAGTGGCTTAGTTGTTTCTCTTAGTATAAAAAGGAGGTGAAGTTGCATATATGATATGATGCCCATATCCAACACCATATGTTCTTCTTCCCAATGCCACATCTAGGAGACTCTATGCTGCAGTTGAGGGTAAGCACTACTGCAGTTGAGGGTAAGCACTACTGGCCCCCAAATTCTATTATGTATACTCTCAAATTCTATTTCATTACTTTTATTTCTTAATGTGTCAAATAAATATAGGCTACTTTAATGAAGTTTCCTGAAGCTGGAAGCCGGTTTGGACGTCCATATTATAATCCTGTTCCAGTTCGTCCACGAGGAGTAGGACTAGGAGGTATGTCAACAATAAAGAGATCATTTCAGCAATTACATATTTTCAACCGTATTTGTACAATTATGTATGTAGTTCATACATGATTACACAACTAATGCATCATCAAAAATTATTATATTGATAATATATGTTACAACTATATATGTAAGGCATATATAATGATATCAAGTATAATCATATTGATATTGTTGACTTGCAAAATTTTGAGATGATTTTGACTCTTAGAACATAATTTTTCTGTCTCCGCCCCTGGAGACAGACCTCCACATACTATATATAATATTTAATATTTAATATTTGTAATCTCTAATTTAAGTTATAATTCTAATGGTGTTTGCAGCTCCCCGTTGCTGTTGAACTTGAGCGGCGCTACAATTGTAGCACGAAGGCAAAGCAAAGAAGGAAGCATATACATACATATATATACTTCGGTCAGCCCATGCAGAAAGACGAAGAATAAAATTAATTGCTTAAAAGTTTCACTTTTAGTATTTTGAATTATGATTTGATACATCAATGTTTTGACTGTAATTTTTTTTTTTTCCCCTTCTTTTTGAGTCTTTGAGTCTTTGAGTCTTTGATTTTGTTGATTTTTATTTTGTAAGTTTTTTGTTTGATCACACAAAGGCCATCAATGTTAGTTTTACAATCTTTAGACAGTTGCTGGCAGAGTTTTTTGCACTTTTAGTCCCACGACTATAGTAGCACTGACAGAATTGATCCATGACTTTTGAACCTTGCAATTTTAGTCCACGACTATTGATTTTTTTGTAAAAATGGTCCTTCCGGTCACTTTTCCGTCAAAATTTCACCGGAAAAAAAAATCTCCATTTTTAGCCGGGTTAAAATTGACATTTTACTTATCTCAAAAAATTAAAAGAAAAAAATTGATATTTGACTACATACAATATTACTGGGCTACATACTACTGCCCCAGGCAGCGTAGTACATGTACCACTCCAATGCTGCTGTCGGATAACCCAACTAGCCCGGGGAACGCCACGGCCGCTCCGCCGCTTACTGACAGCCCTGCCTGCTCCAGGAACTCCGCCGCCTGGGGCAGTAGTATGTGGATTGATTTTTGGAACACTAACAAATCAATGGGTTGATTTTTAACAAATGGGAGGGGATGGCTTTTTGAGGGTTATTTTTCTCCTGCAAAGGTAATTTTTTGTGGGCTCAGAGGAGAGAGAAAGGAAGGCAAAATAAAGGCAGAAGTCTTGCCAGTGCAGCACATCTCAAAAAAATCAATAGTCGTGGACTAAAATTGCAAGGTTCAAAAGTCGTGGATCAATTCTGCCAATGCCACTATAGTCGTGGGACTAAAAGTGCAAAAAACTCGTTGCTGGCAGGACAATACTACCGGTCAGATACTGAAAGTCTGAAAGGAAATAAGTAAAAAGAAAATTAACACGTAATGATATAGGGAAAGTTTTTTATTGCCCCTTGAACTCAAAAAATTGGAACCCTTATTTCACCTTTCTCAAGGTATTTATACATGAGCCTCTAGGCTAGAATACAAAAGTAATGTTCATAATTTATCGTACTAGTCTCGATCAATTCAGTCCTGAATTAAGCACTAAAAAACTTCCTAAAATAATCGTCTCTGTCATTAAGAAAGGCAATCTTCTTGTGAATCTCGATCACATAAATGCCCCAAACTACATAACAGTACAATTCCCCCTCAAATGCACACGAGTTCTATTGGATCTGTTGGTAGGAAAACAAATAATAATCAAATAAAAATAAGATTATTATTTTCTGGAAAAATAAAGGAAGGAAAGATGGAGAATTTGGCTAAAGGTATTGGGTTTTTGCAAAAGTCAAGCAATCACTCTTTCCTTCAAACCTTATTTGCCACATTCCAAAAATGCTAGGAGCGTTGTGGCCTAGGCTTCCTAGGATAAAACTTGCTTGTGATTCAATATTTGAGCACCCAAACAAGGAATCCAGCGAACAAAGCAAGGTTTTGAACACAGTAAGCTTTTAAGAAAGGAGTAGCAGAATTTTGAGGCTTGGAAAGCAAGATTTCGTGTAGTGTATTTGTGCACTTGTATATGTAAAAATCTGCTTCTTACTATCTCTCTTATATAGGGATGGAGGAGTTAATAGCCTTTATTTCTGTCAATGAATTAATTTCTCATTTAAGCACGTAGAATGAAGTAATTCGCAAATTATGCTGTGCAGCCGTGGTGCACACGGTTGTAAAATGACGTCATTTTGACTAAAAACGCGCGTCCCATTTAAAAAAAATAATAATTCAGTTTCGATTCCCCTTAATAATATTATTGTGGATATATAGTTATGAATTATTGTGAATATCAAAAAAAAAATGCTATTGCCAGAAATCGAACCTGAATTTTTTTTATAAGTGGAACGCGCATTTTTAGTCAAAACAACGTCGTTTTTATAACCGTGTGCACCAAAGTTGCACAGCATAATTTACGAATTACTTCATTCTACGTGCTTAAATGAGAAATTAATTCATTGACAGAAATAGAACCGGGGTGACGTTGAAAGTTAGTTGTAAAAGATAGGACAGGGAAAAGCTAATTATATAAATAAAATAAGATAAATTTTTTGATCTGAAAATTAAAGTTAAATTATCTAGACTCATGGTAGGTGAATGCGAAAGTAACCAAATCAAATTCGATTGTTGTTAGTTACGTAAACATATGTTCATAATTTTATAATTTCAAATTATGAATGTATAGTTATAAAGTTATGGATGTGCAGTTATGCAATTCTGAATGTATAGTTATATTTGAAATTATGGATGTATAGTTCAAATTATGCACAACATAACGCCGTTAACGACAATCAAAATTGATTTTTTTTTTTTTTATTTTAAGTTAGACGTTAAAACGACGTCATTTTTGCAAACGTGTGCACCATGCATGGTGCACACGGTTGCACAACATAACGCTCCAAATTCTACTAACCCTAACTTGAAGGTGTGCGCTAGGTGAAACTCACCTTGTGACCTAACCACCAAATGATCACAAGGAGATAAACTAACTCAGTTTGGCCATAGTTGATTAATTCAAACTAACAAGGTAAATAAATAACGTCTAAAAAAGTTAAACTTAAAAGTTAAAATTTTGTAGTTATCAAGACAATTATTTGATAGACTTAGGGTGTGTTTGGTTGGTGGGTTTTGCCAATAGGAATGAGTATGAAAGTGATTGTTGTTGTTTGGTTGATAGGTTTTTAGAACACTACTATGGGTTTCGAATACCCCATCAATTGAAAAATCCATACCCAAATACAATAAGAGTTTCATTCCCTTATTCATTCTCAAGCACTACTATTAGTAACCATTCTATTCCACCCTACTACCAAACATGTTAAATATTTTCACCAAAACCCATTATCATTACCAAGTATTTGATACCCACTTCGATTGCAATTCCTACGTGCGAACCAAACACACCCCCTTAGTTGGGGCTAGACCTAGCTAGCTTATATTGTACTTCGTAAAATAATGTAGCTTGCCCGACGCGTGAAGTTGTTTGACTAACTTTGACGTGGGGGCAGATAGTGAGAAGAATCCGTTGACCTATCCTAGCATGCCATTGGTTCCAATGTGAGCAAGGAAAATGATAATCCTCCAATCAAATGTCATGACATGTCTACATATATCCTCAACTCCTCAAAGGAAACCAAATCTCATGCTCAATTCTACTTCTCGTTTCGTTCTTTTGATGGCATTTCTCTTCCTTTTTTCTTGCACTGCTCCACATGGTAACTACTACTATACCCCATCTCCTCATTCATTTAAAAAAAAAAAAAAATTATATTATGAAACCAAACATACACAAACACCCCTGTATAGAACTTATCTTCTATAGTTTCTTTAATTTCTCTAAGAGGAAACTCCCAAAATAGTCATCCGACTATAGCCTTTTCTCAAATTGGTCATATGACTTTTAATTGAATCCAAACTGGTCCTCCAACTATTAGATTTTAAGCCAAATTGATCCTCCGTTAGTTGGACGTTAAATTAGAGGGCAAAATAGAAAATTTACACTGTATAATGTTTAGACTACCAGTGCCTTTGATTTTTCTCCGAAATTAGCAAACAAATTGTTGAAGCCTAAAGAACCCCAATCCAATTTCCTTTGCTAATTAGCTTCAATTGGATTAGGGTTCTTCAGGCTTCAATAATTTGGGAGAAAAATCAAAGACGATGGTAGTTTAAACATTATACACTATAAATTTTCTGTTTTGCCCTCTAATTTGATGGTCAAGTTCACGCCTAACTAGCAGATGATCGATTTGATTTATAATCTAATAGTTGGAGGACCAGTTTGGGCTCAATTAAAAGTCATATGACCAATTTAAAAAAGTGCCATAATCGGAAGATCATTTTGAGAATTTCCTCTTTCTCTAATCAATTCTGTATATATAATAGTAATAATAATAAAGAAGTTGCATGCATGCAGGAAGGGAAACTGTGTCCATGCCCGTCCCTAGGTGTGGCCCAAAAAGTGATGCTCAGTGCACTCCTAAAGCTACACGGCGACGAATTCTTGTAGGCACTCCCGACCATTTCACGGCCGACGAAGGAGGACCGGCGGCAGGATGGCGGCGCTAGTCAATGACCAATGGATTAACTTCAACTAATACGTATATACCACATCAGTGATCAGTCCACTGTCATAAAAATGTTGCAGCAATTATATGTGTCCTTTTTAGTTTATTTATTTTGTTTGGGTTTCATATTTGATATAGATTTTATATTATTTGATTGTTGACTTTGGTCTTGTAAAATATACATTTTTTTAAATCTCGTAATTATACAATGCATGTGGCTAAATTTATATAAAAAAAGATTTTGAAGTTTTTTTTTTTTTTGAAAGTAAGATTTTGAAGTTTAATTCTCCAAAAGGTTCATAAATTATAGTCGAATGGTATGTAAGATGTTTTCTTTTTAATTTTTAGCCAGAGTGTACGTTTAGAGTTCAAGTTTGACTAGTTAGCAATCAAAGCGTGATGCTTGCCTTAACGAAAATTTTAATATATAAATAAACTTTATATTGAAATTGGAATAATAATCAGAATTAAATACTTTATATTGGAGCGCACTTACCAATGCCTTTGAGTACATCCTATAATAATATGTATAAGTTTAGTGAAATAGTTGTTAGCATAAGCTTAGCTCAATGGTTTAGTAGACATCTTCAAAGTGGGCAGATTCCTTATGTGCACCAGCATTTTGTACTATCCGCTGAACCATTGAGTCACAGTGATTTACATCATCTCAAATGCGTGAGTCACAGTGATTTACACCATCTCAAATGCTCTATCAGGCTTAGGCTACAATTGAGTCACAATAATTTATACCCTCCCAAATATTTTATCGGGCTTAGGCTACAATTGATTGCGAAAGTATATTAAACAGATACTGAAAATCCACCTTTTAGCGTTTATGATTTAATTAGTTTTGGTGGTTTGGTTTAAATCTTAATTTTTTTAAAATTCCATTTAGAAGAATATTTATGAAAATAATCTTAAACATTATTTACTTGATTTCATATCCATCACATCTTGATCCAAATTTTTGGCGACATTAACAAAATTTTCAAGATACATTAAAATTTTTTTGGCTTGAATCTTTTTGGGGAATGAAAAGATTCCAATGCCCTTAAAATAGAAAAAAATTACATTAATTCAACATCGGACCATCCAATAAACTAGGAAAATAGAAAGACTTGGGAATCCATTTCACTAGCTTAACCCATATATCCAAATTCTAGTTCTTCCCAGCCATGAAACTTAGAAACTCTGAGAATTCAATGGTTCCATTGCCATCAACATCCGCTTCATTCATCATATCCTGTAGATCAGCTTCGGTGGGATTCTCTCCCAATGACCTCATCATAGTCCCAAGCTCTTTTCTACTGATGCAACCATCTCCGTCCTTGTCGAATAGGCTGAAGGCCGCCTTGAACTCGGCCATCTGATCATCCGTCATACCTGTACAAGTATTTTCTGAAAAATGAGTCATTTAAAGAAAAAAAAAAAACATTTTTCAGGTTTATAAGCAGACTCTAAATTTAATTGGTGTGTAATAGCTAGCATACCTTGATATTTGATTTGTATTGCATCCCAAGCTTCTTTTGAGTTGTTTGCATTAAGAGTGCAGCGACGAACTGATTGGTCAACTCCCAGCAGGATAATCATCATAGCCATGGCGTCCTTCTTCTTCCCATCTTTTTTAAAAGCCTTAGCTTTGTAACCATTTTCCACCAAGTCCCAGAGACCATGGGATATAAGCAAAGCCCTCATCATATTGCGCCAGATTTCATACTCACTCCCGTCAAACACAGGAAACGATCCTGGGCCCATCATGGAACTTTTGTTTCCCAAGTTTACACAAACAATCAAAGAGGTTAGTATTATAAACATTACGGGCATTTGGTAAATAATTGTTAGCTGATAGTGTTAGCTTATTGAGTTAGTGAGTTTAACTAGTTGATAGCATTAGCTGATTCTAGAACAGTATTTGGTAAATTAAATGTTAGCTGGTTGATTACATGCAAAATTACTTTATCAAAAAACTGATCAACAAAACTATTTTTTGAATTTTAACATTTTAGAGCAACAAGTTGTTACAAATCCGTACTTACAGACATTTGGCTTAATGAATTATCATGATTTACATCTTACTAAATGCTTTGTTAGGATTGGGGCATGGGGAAGAAGTATTGGATAAACATTAACATTTGCATTTGCATTGGGAGAAGAAAATCACATATCTGATCTATCTCCAATTTGGCAACAAATGAAATGAAAGGATGAGCTAAGAGAGTTAACCTAATATCGGCAAGTGCTTTGGCTGCTTCTGCATTTCCGTTCTGTGCCCTCTTTTCTATAATATCTGCAATAGTTACTACAGAACTCGCTGCTCCTAAAAGGCTCACAATGAACGAGCCCGGATCCACCATGTCTCAGCTGAGAGAGAAGCTAAGCAGGACGATGAAGGAAAGCTATAATTTCTTTTAATTTAGTCAATAATATAATGTCAACTAAATAAATAATGTAGTGTACATTTTTGATCCAGAAGATTGCAATATATATATATATATATATATATATATATATATATATATGAAGTAGGATAGAAAATTCAACCTTATCTCTTATGAATTATGATAGCCACTAGACCCACCATATGTGTGGGAGTTAGCGCCAATGGTTTTTGACTGAAAAGGGGAATCTTTGGGGAAAAAAAGGAAAGGAAGAAGCTAGGAAGAATGTATGAGGGAGAAGGACCAAGGACCAAGGATAGGTATAATAATTTCCTTTACATTTAAAACTATTTCTTAGAAGATTCTATTATCAAGTGGGAAAGACAATGCAACCTATCTCTTACAATAGCCACCGAATTTCCATCATTATATTGTGTTTATGTGTATGTATATTATAAACATAAATTCTGTACATTATATATAAAATTAAATTCTATGTATTAAACCGGGTCCATGATATAATTTGCCACCGGACCACCAAGCTTTGGGGTGGCCAATGGTTTTTGATGAAATGGAAAGTTTTTGAAAGTGACGGAGAAAGATCGAAGAAGGGGAAAAAGAAAGGCAGAAGTAAAAATTGTGCCTTGCACCCCAGCCAGGAATATTCATGGACTTCAGAGCACTTTCATCTAAAAGCACTTTTTATCCGTGTATTTTCCATTTGTCTAAATGGAATTGAAAATGCTGATTTTGAATTCTTCCATTCCTTAGAAAAATGGAATAATGGAGATAGAATTAAGATTGGAAATTTTAATTTTGTAAACAAGTTTGGACCATTTTCTATATAAGGATCAAATAAACATTTGGTCAAATATACAACTCACAAGTCTCTGTCGCTTTTTCTTCCATTTTCGTCTGCTCCCAAGAAGTAAAGTCGTAGGACTTGGTGCTGCCGGCTGACTCTCTGATAGAGCGTTGAGCCGGCGGTGCCATTAGTAGCTAGACTCCATTCTCCGGCTGTTTTTAGGAATAAGTGTTAATTCATCTCCGATCGTTTTAGAGAAGGCTTCAGAGACTCTCCAGATCTGACATGTTTTCTACCCTCTTTTCCATTTATTATGCTTTCTTTTGGTTCTACGTTATCCCTTTGTTCCTTTGACTAGTTTGTTTCCTCCCATCTTTATAAACATTTGGTCAAAGGTAATCCTAGCCAAGTTAATCAATTGTTGATCGGGTAAACACAAAATCTTAAGTTTGACTCTTAGTAGGGGGGGCATATTGGCATTCTTAGTCATTTTGATTGTTTACTTGTACATTTTTAAAGATCGAGGGCCTAATTGACTTCTTGTATAAAGTTCGAGGTGTATTTCCTTTATTTATATATTGTGATTAATGTTTTTTTTTGGTGTACCTAAGGTTTCCACTGTCTGACACATTGACTAATTCCCTCGCTAAATTTTATGCATCTCTTTTTGGTAGAATAACTGGTCTGGAGATTTAAGACTGCTCCATATCTAAAGTCAAGGATCAAACTTTTGACCTTTGATTAATGATGAATGATATTGTGATCAGTGTGGTCCTAGGGGGATTCATAGGTTCAAGTAACCTTTGTTAACTAGTTGTTTCTTTGATTTTGCTTTCAATTTTCTCCTTTTGTATTGGTGTTGATTAGTCCTTTATTTTACTTCATTGATTCCTCAACTTTTTTTAAGACTTGATAATAAAATTGTATTTTACTTAATTGGTGTCCTAGCTTCTGGCTTATTTGTAACTTAAAAATAATAAGTTATAAATCCTAAATAAACTCAAAATAGATTCCTTCTATGCTAAGTTTTATTAAGTTTGAGCTAATTTCACTTTTTATTCTAGATTTATAAGTAACAATCCACTTTTAATCTAATATTTTTTTTTCAGAACATCTCCTTTGACCCTAGTATTATTGCGGGGCAAATTATGCTGTGGAAACGTGCAAACCTTGCAAGGTGGGCACAGTTCCATATTCATAATTTTATACGGTAAATTCATAATTTTTTTTACTGTAGATTCATAATTATAGAGCTATATGTTCAAAGTTTTATAAATATATGTTCATAATTATAGAGCTATATGTTCATAATTTTCGATGTTCATATTCCCAATTGTTGAACTCTGTTTTCACAAATCACAGAATTATATGTTCATAATTTGATAACTATACAGTTTAGAAATTATGAATCTAGAGTACAAATATTATGAATCTGCAGTATACAAATTATGAATCTACTGTATAGAAATTATGAATCTACAATATAGAAATTATAGATATAGAACTGTGCCCACCTTGCAAGGTGAGCACGATTCCACAACATAACGTTCCGCAAGCCCATTTTTTGTCATCCGATCCATCAACAAAATAGTTTAAATTCCATAAAATACAAGGGCGCATTTAGATTTTCAATTATGATTTTTTTTTAAATAAAAATAAAAATATAGTGGGTCAACCCACTTTGTATAAAAAAGGATCGAAATGTCATTAAAAAGGGATCGAAATGTCATTGTATTTAATGATATTTTGACGATTTGCTAACAAAGGATAAAAAATGATCATGTCACAAATCCACAATAATACTAGGGGGATGTTTTGAAAAAGAATGACTAACCAAAGCATTAACAAGCTTATTCATTGATCTACAGACGAATCAGAAGAACCATGATTCAAAATGTCTTTTAAGAAAATAACATTCACCTAGCACACAGTCGACATATATATGAGAAATCATGCAATCTACCATTGAGCAGGTTACAAACCGTTTGGCAGTCCCATAAATCAATATTTTCCCCTATCTTCTCTCGCAGTCCACAAGAGAGCTTCCTTAATAGTCATAGCTACCGCCAAGTGAGAGTCATTCATACAACGAACCGGACCATTCTTTGCTGCCACAAATCCCTCATTTTGTTCTTGCAACACCACCCCATAGCAGGGTTAATCTCAGGGGAGACTGAGGCATCAACATGGACTACCATCCCACTTATTTCCACCTTCCGGGGCCGGAGGCACTGTCACTTGAGCGCCCGGATGATTATCCTGCGCAACTGAAGGTGTTGACTCAAAGTGTTTTGTCAAAGTTATGTGCAAAAGGAATTCCAGATCTATAAAGGAATACCAAACCTAAGAGTAGTTATTGAAGAGTACTAGTTCTAAAGGGAATTGTTATTGAAGTTTTTAGTTCTAGTCTGATTAGGAATAACTTTATTATTCACGAATCTGTTAGGAATAGCTATTATAAATAGGGGTTGTCCTTTCTTGTAGAACTCAAGCTTTCAAGATCTAATTGTGAGGTACGAGAGTCTTTGAGAATATGATACTAAATTCCCCTAGAAAGTAGTACATGTGTTTAGGTTTCAATAGTTTGGTAGGAAAGATCATTCTATTGTGTAATCTCAGGTTCCTAACAGTGTACTTTAAATATTGAGCTTTTAGTGGATTTAGGCAAGTTCTCAAATTGAGAAGTGCCTCGCAGATTAGGGTTGATTGCCCGAACTGCGTTACATATCATTTGTGTTACAAACGTTAGCTTCAAACGTCACTGTGTGCTGCGCTTTTAAATATTTCAGAAGGGCTTGAAATACACTGCCAATCTCGAAATAAATTCTCATCCATAGCTTTCGTTCCAACAGCCTGCCAAGGCTATTGGTTCCAAATCACTTCATTTCGGATCTTCCAAATACCCCAACTAGGGATGTCAATCTAGTCCTAAATCAATGGGTTAGTCCAATAAGCCCTGAAAATTATAGGGCTAAAATCTAATAAAATCAACCCAATAAAAAAATAAGGTAATTGGGCTAGCCCTATAGGGTTACTGGGTTGGCAAATTATGTTGTGCATCCGTGTGCACCATGCATGGTGCACACGGATGCAAAAACGACGTCGTTTTGACTAAAAACGCGCGTTCACTTAAAAAAAATCAGTTTCGATTTCCGGCAACAATATTATGTTGTGCATCATTTAAACTTTATATTCAGAATCAATGAACTAAAAATCCAGAATCAATGAACTAAAAATCCAGAATGAATGAACTAAATATCCAGCATGAATGAAAAAAAAAAAATAGTTTCGATTTCCGTCTAAATATCCAGAATCAATGAACTAAAAATCCAGAATCAATGAATTAAAAATCCATAATGAATGAACAACATAATGCTGTTGAGGGGAATCGAAACTGATTTTTTTTTTTTTTTAAAGTGGGACGCACGTTTTTAGTTAAAACGACGTCGTTTTTGCATCTGTGTGCACCATGCATGGTGCACATGGATGCACAACATAACGATTGTACTGGGTTGAGTTGGGCTAATCCACAAGATTGCCGAGCAATAATTATGCTGTGGAAACGTGTTCACCATAATTATGATACATCCATAATTTCTATACTGTAGATTCATAATTTTTTTTTTTTGAAAACTTAGATTCATAATTTTGTTTTTCATTTGTTATTAACGGGATAGATCTATAATTTCTAAGCTATAGATTCATAATTTCTATACTGTAGATTCATAATTTCTATATCTTTACTGTAGATTCATAATTTCTATACTGTAGATTCATAATTTCTGTACTGTAGATTCATATATCTGTAAAAACAAATGAAAAACAAAATTATGAATCTACATTTTCAAAAAAAAAAATTATAAATCTACAGTATAGAAATTATGGATCTAACTCTGTGTTCACCATGCTCATAGTGAACACGTTTCCACGGCATAATTTGCGCTTTTTGAGCCGGACCTTCTATTAACATTTCAATTAAAATGGTTAATAAATAGTGTGTGACAGAGAAAGAGAGAGATGTTGGTTTCGGCATTTAAGAGATTGACAGAATGGGAGATGTAATAGCTGTATTCCCTCTATACACTTTTATTCAATAATTAGTATTTGCGCCCGTGCGATGCACGAAATGCATTTGTTGTAATATATTAAGAATATTTAAATCGATATATAATTATTTAAATTTGTACATCAAATATTATTTAGTGCAATTGAAGGTATATTTTAGATCATTTATATGTAGCTGTATTCTCTCTATATACTTTTATTCAATAATTTACTTTTA